CTGCTCCTTAGAAAAGATCCTTGAAGTTTCAGCACTTTTCTACATATTTCAATTTATGGTCTTTTGAGAGCCAGAGTCAAAGAAAGTTTAAATTCCTCCACTAAACATAGCAGACTTTTTCATCAAGCACTGTGGTTTGCAAATGCAGTTGCTCCATAAGTGCTATTAGAGGACAAATGCCTACCAAATCAGCACCATGGGTGGGTTTACCACTGTTATCAAGGGGTACTTTACATAGCTAGCACCCTGCCCCATGGACAGCAACTTAAAATACCTTTGGATTCAGGTGGATATGGTGGTCTCCAGTGAGTGATTAGAGAAAAAATAAGTTCCCTCTCGCTTGTAGTTAGTTAGAGTGGACCTAATGGCAGAAAAAAGATAGAAATGCAGCTTAATCATTGGGCAATTCTGTCTGAAATCGGGCTCAAAATCTTATGCAGCTGTTGGGTTGTTGCTGACTGTGATCACAGCATATGATTTACATTATTTTCGAACACATCAAGCCACTGAGCGACCCCTGCGCCTTTTCATGGAAGCATCTGCGTGCACTATGTATCCCCACTTATTTATTCAGGCTTTTCCTTTAATTTGTCACTCATCTGCATCTACAAATGACTACAGAGAGCATCAACAATGTGTTATCAGTTCGTTCCTACTGTTTATTCACCTCATCTGCCTCAGTTGCCATGTTACACCTGCAAGGAAATCAGCACTACCAGAGAGAACAGATGTAGGTGTGCAGATTTAGATCTCACTTTGTAGAGCCGCGGGCTTTTGCGGTTGTTTCTCTGACAGCTTCTTAATTACATTGTGGGGTAGAACACATTAGTTCCTAAAAGATTACGTATTTTAAAGCTTTTCTGTTTGGTCAACGGTATAATGTTGGAATGATGGGAGCAATTAATAAGATGCGATGTGGATCGTGGAGTGTGTGCGTGCCTGTGTGTAACTGGGAGGACAGATGGACTCTGGTTAGATGCTGTGGATCATTAAACACAGATGAAGGACAGACAGAAGGCTGACTTGCCTCCGGCCTGCTCTCCATCCTCCCATGTCGGTCTAGCTCACTTCTTTGTGTCTCTCTGAGTCAGACTTTCTTATCAGTGGCTGCTCCTCTAACATTAATACAATAATACTGTTATCGTAAGCTCATATATAACTTCATTACCCTGGTACCACGTTCCTTTCTATCCTCTCTATTTTCAACCTGTATCTGTCTGTTTGGTTCTCCTTTCTCAGTGGTTACAGTGGACAGGGGAAGGACCATTACAATCACAAAAGATGAACTGGAAGGTGAGAAGCTTTATTTTTATTTCAGTGCATAATTTTGTCAGAAAAACAAGCCACTTGAACATTTTCCCCATAGATTTAAAACAGCATCCATGTTTTACTGGCACGCATGGTGCCTCCTTTATGCCTGCAGGATCCCTCGGGGTTTGTGGCTTAATGCATCTTCATATTATATTTAACAATGAGCTGCAGTAATTGTATGACTGTAGCAATGAGCATTTGCTCCATTTACAGAACTGAAAAGAATGAACAATCCCTGGCGGTGTCCTGGTAAATGCACATAATGGCTCGAGCTAGTGTGAATGCCTGTGAAGAGGGCTGATAACCTTGGCAATGTAACCCACGGACAGATAAAAAGGAAAGCGGGAGGAGGAATTTGTGTTTTTGGAGCCATCTAAAACATGTAGCACAGGGAGTCCATTTATACTCTCTTTATTCTGTTCTCCAGGGGAGGTTTAGAGCAGAAGGAGTGTATACATGTATAACAAAGAAGTGCATGTGTGCAGCTTTTAACAGAAGTCAAATGAGATAGCACTGCAACATCCTGAACTTCTAAGATCAGTCTCCATCCAGACTGACTCTGTTGCAGTACACATAACTTCAGACACTCCCTTGTCCAGATTGTATGTTGTGTGTAGAATGAAGAATCAGAATATTTGAAAGGTTATATGCTGTAGAGCTGTGGGAGGGTTGGAGAGAAACTAAGCCGAATGAATGTGATGTATGTAGTTTGCTAATGCTGTCTCACTGACCTTTGTTCCTCTAAAATTAAACTTGGATCCCTTTTTTATTATTTATTATCTCTAAAAAATTGTGACGTTTGGAGGTCTGACCTTTGTTTGACTTTTGAAGGTGGAGTGCATGGCATGAAAAGAGCCACTAAATTATGGTCTCTAAGTTCAATGAAAGAGGAACCTTTCTCCCTTATTTTGGTTTTCTGAAAAGGGGAGGCTAGCCTCCAGATTAGAAAAGTGAGCTAAAAAAGTCACAACCAAAACAGGATGTGACTTTTGTAGTTAATAAAAAAGACATCTAACTCCTCCTTATTATTGAGTTTATGGTCTCAAGCTCTAGTTTCAAAGTCTTGTGTATTATGTAAGTTTACATTTAGAGTTGCATTTAAAGTTAAATATGTTGTAGATAAAGTATGCCGTAACAAGCTTAAATAGTGTATTGGAAAACTGGAAACTGAGAGAAACAGCTGGCTAGTTTTTATTAATTTCAACAAAAGCAAAATATAAAAATGACAGTGTACTTTTATAAGTGGCTTCATTAGTACTTTGAATCGATCCCGTTGAACTGCCAAGCTAATCTTGGCTTGATCTTCATCTTGGGGAGCTTGATTTACAAAATCATCTCGATGTTGTATTCATTATGTTTGAGGCCATAAATTCATCAGCACTGGGCAAAGACTATAGGAGCCCATGATTTTAATGACCTCAGATGATCACTGAAAAAAAATGAAGGTTAAAGTTGGCATTGGTTTCACTTAGCAGACACAGATGTCAGGTTGTAGGTTTTATGAAATTCATTTCAGTTTTATTTAAATAGCGCAAAGTCACAATGGTTACCTCAGACAACTTTATATTACAGAGAACCCCCCCCAAATGAGCATGCACTTGGCGACAGTGGGAAGAAAAAAACTCCATTTTAACAGGAAGAAATCTTCGCCACAGTTCCCAGATATGTATTGTTGTTCGTTTCCTTTTGTGTACAGTATACACACCGTATGGGAGAAAACTTCAGTCTGCCATGTTGAATCATTACGTGTAAATAATAAAATGCTAAACACTTTTATGTTTGACATTTAAAGATGTGCTGCAGTCATCTTCTTTTGAACTGAGGTCAGGTGACTGACTTCACCAACCAGGTGCGTTCCACTTACTGTCCCTAAATGCTCATTTTAGCTGCACATTAAACATAATTTTCCTACTGCTTGGTTGTTTTTTTTTTTTAAAAAAGAGTGCATTAAAATGACTATATTGTTTGGCTTCAAACAGAGTTTGATTAAGCACTTTAAGAGCCACAAAATCAAATCATTTTCCCTTAAATTAGCATATTCAACAGTCAAACAATACAGTATTGAATAAACAGTTAACTGTTCAAAAGAAATGTAAATGCAAAAACAGTAAAGCTGCAAAGTACATAAACCATAGAGACCAAAAAATCACTGTGATTAACATCCCACTTATGGACAATATTTGATCATTTGATTACCAAGTATTATTGGCTTGTTGTGCAAGCCTGTGCTTTAAAACTCAGTCCTGGAGGCATTGTTATGCTCATTATGAAGCACATGTGTGGGGTCATTAGTGATGGCTTGGCTTTTACTGTGTACTTGTTTGTTTGTTTGTTTGTTTTTTATAGAGCTCTATCAGGGATCTTTGGGTTCTTATAATAAATTTAAAACTGGTGTTAATTGTTCTTTTAGCCTGTTCTTGTCTTTCTGGAGCAACAAACGAAAGAAATGCAAGCATGCATTAAATAGAGGAGGTGAAATGTGTTATAATTACTCTCTCGTTTACCCCGCTGAGAAAACCCGTACAACCGCCGATGAGCCTGCTTAATAATATCTGTGTTCTCAGTAAACTTTCATTTCTCTTCACATATACCACACAAATATGTGTATGTCTTCACAGTTTCACAGCATTCATTAAAAATAGTCCCCTCCCTGAAAATGGGTTTAAGGAGCTTATCATTGCTTTTGTCCGTCGTCAGCAGATTTTACTACATGGCTTTATGGTTTTTTCCGTAACCGCTGCAGCACTACATGAATTTTTTTTTTTTTAAAGCACAGTGTGTCCTGCTGCTCAGATACTCCTCTGTATACTAACAAAGGTTTGTTGCCTCTACCATCCCTCTCTCTTCACTACTCTTTCAGCTGTGGAGCTCTTCTCTGATCCACACTGCAGCTCTACAAACTCTACAAGGAATACAAACGTTCAGACACAGATGGGACACTTCTGGCTAAACCTGAACACTTCTATTGTCCTTGAATCATTTGGAGTGTCACTGAAAGTATTTGACTACATGTTATCTGCTATACCTAGGTATTAGAAAATTAGGTGAAACTGGGGTAGCCAGGTGCTGTGCACACATTCAGCAGCAAAGCATTTTAAGAGAAAGAGAATCAAACGCAGCTTCTCAGCCAACACTTTTTTGGATTTTCATTCTCATTGACCTTGTTCTAACTTTTGCATTCGTCATCCTCCGCTTCCTACTCCTGTCTTTGCTCTCTAGGTCGAATCAAAGCTCCTTTTCCTCCCACAAATGTCCACGCCTGCGAGGTGAGCGACACCTACGTGGTGCTGAGCTGGACCGAGCCTGAACCCAGAGGCAGGGAGCCGCTCACCTTCTACGTGGAGCGGGTCAGTCACGGCACATAAATATTCATATTACAACAACTCAGAAGACTCTGATTGGCTGCAGGCCTCCCCCGAGGTTAAACTTCCTTCATCTTATGAGCTCATAAGTGAAGTTTTAGTGCATCTACTAAAAATCATTTTTAGATTAATCACATCGGAGCATAATTTAAACTTGGAGAAAAATCTCCAATCTTTGTAGCAGCCAGTAGAAAATCTCCTCACAGCGACTTGAAACTGGTCACTATAACATATTAGAGGTTTATTATCAAGCTGATTTGTTTTGATCCACTATTTGAAAAAGTGGCCTGCTCTGGGAGTCACAGTTAATCTGCAGTCACGTGATATGTTGTCTGAAGAACTGCAAACTAAAATCGCAATGATAACTGTTCATGCCAGAAGAGGTGAAAAACTGAAAGATTATGTTTTCTTTTTTGGTTTTTGGTTTTTTAGGTTGGTTGGTTATTTGGGTTAACTTTTTCCGTTTTATTTTCCAATTTTTGGAATTGGGCTTGTTTTTTTTTTTTGAGTTTTTCCCCTTTGGTTTTTTTTTCTTTTTAAAAAGACCTGCCTCTGAATTAAAAATATATGCATATGTGGGAAATGGACAGCAGTAAAATGTTAAACATTCATTTGAGCCAAAGCTCCTTAACTCCATAATTATAGATTAAAAAAATGTAATGGGCCTGTGTAAGTTGAAAACCCAGCAGAATTTTCACCAGAGTCTGCAGCTTCTGCACTTTACGAAGCGGTATATCATGTTTCAGCTAATTGCTTCTATTTTACTGCAGCTTTAGTATTTTGGTTCAGTCTCGAGTCACATAGCATCATTGTTGCCTGCAGCGTGCATACAGTTGTTTTTAGCAACAATAGACTTGATGTACTTTACCTACTCTGTACCAAACAGAATACAATGATTGCATCTAGCTGGCAACCACAGTAATCAGCAACTTAAAACCTCAGCAGACGACAGAGAGCAATCCAGACCTGATAAGCAGTGATTTTCATACCTTCAGGTTTCCAACAAAAGTTTCATGTTGCTCTGTAGATGCTGGATTAAGAGTTCCATCTTAAGGAAGCGATGATCCAGAAAACATCCACACTTTTAAGATTTCTGAACAAACACGCACCTACTACGGTAAAAGACATTAAAATATATCTACATTTAAATTACAATTAGATAAAAAACTCACCTGGCTACTCTGTTAAGTAAATCTTTTCAACTTCATATATCTACGTTTATCACATTGCAGCACCTAAATGCATTTAGATGCTCGCAATCGCAGAATTGGGAAGAAAGGGAATTTAAGTGACTTTAAACATGGAATAGTTGTTGTCACAAGATGGGCTGCTGTAATTATTATATAAGGTGCAAATCTACTTGGATTTTCACACAAAACCAGCCCAGTTGTTTAAAGAGAATGGTCTGAAGAAAAAAAAAGAAAATGTCTAGAAAGTTGCAATTCTCTGTGTGGAAATATCCTGTTGATGCCAGTGGTCAGAAGACATTGGCTGAAACTCACAGCAAGGCAACAGAAACTCAAATAAGCATTCCCTATAACCAAGTTATGCAGAAGAGCTTCTCTGAACAATCAATATGTCAGACCTTGAAGCACATTGGCTACATCAGCAGAAGACCACATGGCGTGGTGCTTCTTAACAGCACATGTCTATCACTCTATGACCACAGTGTACACATTTTCACAATGCTCATGCCATCTAAACTGGGTTCTTTAATATTACAGTGAGTTAAATGGCTGTGCTTTGAATTGTGGTAGATGATGGATGTGTTGCTGATAAACTGCAGCATCTGTGTGATGCTATCACGTCAATATGGATCAAAATCTGTTGCAGTATACAGCAGCACACTGTATGGATTTACAAAGAGGACCCAAAATGCAGACACCAGGGAACGTGGAACAAACCTTTAATGTTGACAGAAAGCGAGCCGTTTATTGAGGCTGGTAAAACATTACAAAACAAAAGGCAGATGTGAAGCTAAACAATAACCTAAACTGGGGAAACTAAAGATAAACATAAAACACCCAAAACATGAAACCTGACTTGGATACAAAGATACCTGGACCGTGGAACATGGAAACATGGCACAAAAGACAACACATGACCTGACAATGAATGAACAGAAGCACACAGACTAAATACACACAAGGGCGATTAGGGGATGTGGAAACACACGGGGAAACAGCTGACACTAATCTGACATAACGAGACAAAGGAAGCACACTGACATAGGACACAGACCTTCAAAATAAAACAGGAAACATGAGACGCAGACATAGCAATACGAACTTGACACATAAAACACACAGCATGAAACACATAAAGGTTGAAAGAAACTTAAATACAGGGGTAGAAAAACACAGAGAGAATCTAATAAACAAGTGAACTTAGTTAACCTAAAGAACTTAAACTTAAACATAAACATCAAAATAAACTAAAACTTAAAATGCTGGTTCAACAGACCCAGCAACGTGACAAAATCTCTGAGGAATCTTTCCAGTACCTTGTTGAATTCGAGTCACAAAGACCTGAGGTACTTCTGAAGGCGAATGGGCTCCAATCCAAGTTTCTTATAAGTGTATATAATGCTCTCTCTCATATGTGAATATTTACACGTATCCAGCTAACCACAGTTGTAATTAGTAATACCTTCACTTCCAGTGAACACAAGAATCAGTGTTCTTGCATCAGTACTTCCCGCTTGTTTTGTTTGGGAAGTCCGGAGCTGGAACGTGAGTCAAATTAACAGCAGGCTGCTGACAACAGCACTAATTAAACAGACAGAAGGAGAAGAAATACACACCCACATATACTGCGGTGTTGTCAGTTTAACTGAAACTTTACCATCTTATTAAAAACAAGCAGACCTTGATGTTGCTCTTACATGCCACATATTCTGGCATCAGGAGGGTTTTTTGGTTTTTTTTTGCTTGCATGCAGAGATTTTTTCTAGTGATTGGTTGTTGGCTGAATGTGTTATTTAAAAGGCTTTGTTTGGTTTAAAATTAGTCATGCATCTAATCCAGCAACCTTTAAAAAAAAATCTTTTTTCAGAGGCGTTATCGGTGATGTCAAAAAAGTTTTCTCCAACATATTGGAGTGTTTGGACAGCCCCAGGCCTTTACAATAATAGAAGACCTACAGGCTCTCTAATATTAGCCCAGGCACTGAACACTGAACTTCTAGCTCCAATAATCAAAAAAACTGCTACAGGAAATAGATCTTTATTGAAGCTTTATAAGTTACTGAGGTAATAAAACTGTCAAATCTGTCAAAGGCATCTGAAATTACTAAAAGTCTTCAGCTTCACTTCCTCTTATATAATGAAGAGAACATTCAAATATCATATTCGCCCTTGAGCAAGCACTTTATAATCACTGATCTCTGGGAACATACCCGGTTCTAAACAGAGACTTGGGGAAAGAAATGATGGCAATACAGAGCAGGACAACAGCTACGTTAATGTAGCCTATAATGTAGACACTGCATGATGATGGCTAATTGACAAAGATGAAAAGGAAAAAAATTCAAGATGACAAACTGGCGGTCTACAATTTGCATACCTACCCATCTGTCTTCTTTTTAACTTTATCCAGGCATATTGTTCCTTTTTTCATATTTCTGCCTTTCTAAATCAAAGTATCACTGTCTGTCACTCCAAACTGTGCGGATTGAATCCACCTGCATATTTTAAGGATCCTGAATTATGAAGATGTCCTTGAGATAGACAGCACTTTGGAAATTAATCTAATTCCCCACCTGTTTCAGTCCCTGACAGGAAAAAACAGCTGGGAGATGGTGAGTCTGGACATGGTGGTAAACTCTCCCAGGTTCCCAGTATTTGACCTGGTGAAGGGCAAGCAGTACTACTTCAGAGTGCGTTCAGTCAACAAGTATGGTGTCAGTGATCCCTCTGAGCCGAGCACACCGATCTCCCTCGGAAAGCCACAAGGTGAGATTAAATATGTTATGTACCGGTAGCCATTTATTACTCTGCCTCTTGTAAAGGTCACTTAGATTTTAAAGAGTGCCGTCATTTTTCAGCATTTCCACTCTGAACTGTATTTCTCCTACTCTACATGTTCACTCATACAGTAATTTTACAAGAGAAATGATGTGGCTATATTTATCTCGGTTTTCAGTGGTTTAATAGATTATCTGGATTTCTTATTGAGAACAGATCACAGTACGATATTGAGGGCTCGATAGGAATAATTTATCAACCATATAATTATCATTTTAAATAAATGACAGTATGAGACGTATCTTATGGGTCTAATAACATTACCATAATACACAAGTCCTTGTCTGTTGTTAGTTTCTTTGGCCACTGACTTCGCATGTTGGCACACAGATACTTCTCGGGCCCCTGCCGGTTCTTATCGGTATCTGATGTTGTTGCGTGGTCAAGTTGCCTAGCAACCACTTAGCATCAGGATAAAATGAGGCGTTCTGTTTCTAGCACTTAGACTCATTATAAAAGCATTGGATCCTTTTTTATTTGACCACAATAACATTTAATTTATATCTACAAAACTACAAAACATTTTGCATTATATATAATATAACATCATTAAGTTGCCTAGAACACATCTATGTGTGTGTGTGTG